CCAAATATTTCTGGAGAGCCTTCCCGGCTTCCCCGGGCCGTTTCTCCACAGCACACACCTTCCCCGTGCTGAGGGGCTGTGGGTTGGCGGAGCTCACGGTGATGCCCTATTGTAAAATGTGCTTACGATGATCACAGCACATTCTGTCAGGAAAAGCTAAACACACAACCAGATGCAAAGAAGAAGAAGAAAAAAAGACCTTTTATCCAACTACCCAAAGGACGTCACTAATATTGCAACGCATTTCCTTCTGGGATTTTTTTTTCTGTGCAGGCTGCAAAAAAATTGGGGTGGGGGTAGCATGAAGGGGTACAACTCAGTAGTAGGATGCATGCCTAACATGTGTAAGACCCTGGGTTCAAACCCTAGCACCAAAACAAAAACAAAAAAACCCAAAGAAAAAAATTATAGGTCAAATTAAATATATATATTCAATTTATTTATTTATCTCTTGACTTCGCCACATAGCCTTCCATCAGGAGCATCTTTACTATGGGTGATGTTCCTCACACCAGGGGAAGCCCAGCAGGCTGCCTCCCTCCCCTAGAGGAGATGCCAAGGGTGTAAACAGCCGGGCGGGTCTGAGCCTGGGCGGGATCTCCCACAGCTCCGTCTTCCCTCGCGGGCTCAGCCGGCCTGTTTGCCTGCTCAGGCCAAGCCTCCTCCCACCGGCCCTTCCAAAGCTTTCCACGGCTGCAGCATCAACGGCACTTTTGTCTGCTCCACTTGGGGAGAGGGCCAGATAGTCTGTTTTTTGTGTCCTTGATGGAGCCAGCCCAAGCCCGATGGTCCCGTGGACTTGCTCAGTTTCCCTAGATGGCCCGGCTCCAAGAACAGTTCCAAAGCCAAGAAAACCAAAATCCCTGCCTTTGCAGCCAAGATGGACAGGCTGTTTCCTGATACTCTGCGCGTGCGTGTGTGCGTGTGTGCGCGAGCGTGTGCATGTGTGTGTGTGTGAAGTGACACTTGACCTGGGATTTTATTTGATTGTAATAACAGCGCAGGGCAAAGTCCTGCATTGTTCCTCCTGTTTTCATGCCGAGAGCCGCTCTGCCCTCCCCAGCCGGCCAGCTCTAAAATGACTGTGAATAACTGTTTCTGTAATGAATCCGATCCCCCCGCTGGACCAGAACCTTGCTGAGGACGCTCGAGTCTCACGGATACGCGCCCTCCTCGGTTGCGAGCCGGGTCACGGCTTCGCCCAACTGCGGCCGGGTGCGCGCCCTTCCGGAGTCCCTTGTGGTTGAGCGCTTGGTCCACGGGGTGGCGCTCTTAGGAGGTGATGCGCCGCGTAGGAAATGGGGCCCAAAGGCAGGGCCGCGGCTGGACTGGGGTGCCCTCTGGAAGGGGATTGTGAAACCCTGATCTTCCTCTCTGGCTTCCTGGCCGCAGAGTGAACACCCTCCTCCCCGTGGCTCCTGCCATGTGTGTCCCGTTACCAGCTGCCCTCGTCAGAGGCCGAGTCAGTGTCACCCTCATCTTCTCTGCCTCGTGTTCCAACACTGTGAGCTAAATAAATCTTTTTCTTCATAAGTAGTCGATGTCAGGTATTTCATAATAATAATGAATGGTTGATCAGTACATTTGCAATGGGTAAAGAACCAAAGTTTGCCAATGTGGTTAAAATATACATAACATGAAAAGTATCGCCCTGGCACCTTTTTACAAGTACAGTTTGGTGGCATTAAATATACACTGCTGGGCAACCATCATCACCATCTCTCTCTAGGACTTTTGTTTTGTCTTCCCAAACTGAAACTCAGTAATCATTAAAAATTTCTTCATTCCCCCCACCTCCCTGTCCCTGTCAACCACCAAAATTTCTGTCAAATAACTTATTTTGAATATAGATTAGAGCGTGTTCTAGGTTATCTGTATATCTATTCAATCAACAGATATTTACTGAGTGTGGACACCTCAGTACTGAGTGTGTGAGCAGAGCAAAGTACCTGCCCAGGTGAAGCACATGTTTTGAAATGATAAACCCATAAACAAATGGACAACCCAGGGGAGGGTGGCAATTAGTGTTTGTAAAGACACTGCCTCCACGGGGCTGAACCGATTTCACTGAGGAAGTGAAACTGGTGACTGAGACTAACGAAGTGAGGGGGCCACACAGCAATCCTAAGGAGGGCACCCCGGAGCAGGGATGACACCCAACCGAGGCAGCGCACCTGGGCAGGATGTGTGCTCCTGGCTGTAGCACACCTGACCATGAATGGTTTAGAGCTGGGCGTGGTGGCACACACCTGTACTCCCAACCTCAGGAGGCTGAGGCAGGGGGACTGCTGTGAGTTCGAGGCCAGCCTAGGCTACAAAGTGAGTTCAAGGACAGCCTGAACTGCAGAGCGAGACCTTGGTTCAAAAAAAAAGGCTTAGGCTTAGACTGGCAATAATCAACGCGTAATTTGGGAAACCCTTAAGAATTCCCAAAAGCTTTACAAGATGTTCACAAGGTTAAAATGTTTTCCTAGTAATCCCAAGACTAACCTTACTGTTTTATGCATGTAAACTGTCATGTGAGCTGGTGCTGTATATAATAGATGGTTTCACAATTGGCTGAATGCAGAAGCAAATGGGAAAACCCAGCCGCCTCCTGTAACTTCAGGTATTAAAGAATTTGCAAAAGGGTAAAATGACAGTCAGGCATACTGATGTGCACCTGGGATGCCAGGCCCCGGTAGGCTTGGGCAGGAAGATCACAAGTTCCAGCTTCAGTCCGGACAATTTAGCAAGACCCTGCCTCAAAACAAATAAAAATAATTTAAAGAGGAAGAAATAAAGAATAGATGACAGGCAGATAGGAAGGGATCTAGGGACGAAAGGAGAAGAGGAAGGAGAGAGGGAGGGAGAAGTAACAATTGAGATACGGCACGTGTGTGTGCCAACTCCTCTGCGTGAAGGCGTTCATTATGTATCGCGAGCATGTACTAATGAAAATTTAGAATAAAGATTAAAGGGGCTGGGGATGGAGCTCGGTAGTAAAGCATCTGCCTTGCATATGTAAAGGCCTGGGTTTAATCCCTAGTACTTAAAAAAAAAAAAGAAAAGCAGGCAAAACATTCCAGGCATCATAGATATGCACACATTGAGTCAAGAAAGGCATTTCCCCTCCTGAGCCTCCCTGCACCAGCAGAACATTTTAGCCAAAATCTCCTCTGAAGAGCCAGGCATGGTGGCACATGCCTGAATCCCAGCCCTTGGGAGGCTGAGGCAGGAGGATTGCCACAAATTGCAGGCCTGCCTGGGCTACATAGTGAGTTCAAGGCCAACCTACACTGCATAATGAGTCCCTGTCTCAACAAAACAAAGGAAAATAAAACAAAAACTCTGCTGTGGCTCCACAGGCTCAGCCCACACCTGCTTCAGCGTTGCTGTCAGGCCTGGCTCTGCATTCTCAGGCTCTGAGGCACAGGGCTGGTGCGGGAGTGTGGGAGTGTTGTGATAAAGCTGGGAGCATTTGCTGTAGCTTTGGACATTGTTATCTCTGGGTCCTGTGCTGATCCAGGTCCCACGTACTTTTAGACAACAGTCCAGTCAACACTAAGAAGGTTGTGTAGCTATCTTCCTGGCTGAAAACTCGGTATCAGCTTGGAATGCACTGTCTGTAATTCCTTAAAATTTATAAACTCGGCAAGTTAAACACTGGGAATTTTTGGTGATGTTTTAATTTCTTCACCAAGCTTTTCATGAAAAGGTTATCTTACTGGACAGTCTTCAGTGAAGGGGGAGTTTATGGAGCTTGGGAAATGTAGAAGGCATCTTATTTTTCCTTTTTGGTGCTGAGGATCAAACTTAGAGCTTTACCATGCTAAAAACACTCGAGGTGCCAATAAAACTATCTTCTCAGGCCCAAAGTTTGTTGTTGATTTTTTGTTTGTTTTTCCTGTACTAGGGACTGAACCCTAGGCCTTTGTACCACGTTACACCCCAGTTCATGTTCTGGTTTTTTTTTGTCTTTTTCCTTTTTATCGGTACCAGGGATAGAACTCACAACTGCCTGCTTGCAAGGCAGGCACTTATGCCACTGAGCTAAATCCCCAGCCCCTCATGTTCTGTTTTTTAGACAGGGTCTCCCTAAATTGGCCAGATTGGATGTGAATTTGTGATCTTCCTGCCTGTTTCCCAAGAGGGATAGGATTAAGGCATATGCACCCTTAGCTAAACAATGCATTTTATAATTCATGCAAGAGTCCCAGTGGTTTTTTTGTATTTTATTATTATTGTATTTTTGTTTTGATTTTGAGACAAGTTCTCAATGTACTGGCCTTGAGCTCAATGCGGCAGCCCAGGTTGGCCTCGAACCTATGATCCTCCTTTTTCTCAATTTCCTGAGGGCAGGGATTATTTTTAGAGCACTTTTAGGTTCATAGCAAAATTGAGAGGAAAATGCAGAGGCTCCCTACATGGCCCCGACCCTTGCATCCCACAGCCTCCTGCATCATCAGATGGGAACACAGCAGACAAACTCCAGCCCCGTGGACCTTTTTTGTTTTACTTTTTAAATTTTTGGGTGCAGAGGTCTGAACCCAGGGGCTTGTGCTCACTAGGCAAGCACTCGACCATTAAACCCCAGCGTGGACTTTTCCTGTTTGCCTTTGCACTACCATTTATCTCCAAAGGTCTTTAAAACAAAACAAAAAACAAAACAGGAAAAGCTTTAATTAGAAAGCAAGAGAAAAATGGTAAGAGACTTTCTAGCCTGAGGAGCAGATGAGGATCAGATAAGCCCTTAACAAAGAAGAGCAAGAAAAATAGGAAAGGGTTTCATCTGGAGCAGACAGGCAGCGAGCACAGGGGAGCAGGGGTCAGGCGGGCCCCTCTTTTTTGCTTTTTAATGATTTGGACTCTCTTTTGATCTCTCTCTTACCAGAGACCAGTATCTGGGGATGTATGTAGCTCAGAGCTTCCCTAGTTCTATCCCAGAATCCCCTACACTCTTCTGTCCCCACACAGAAGGATGGGGAGGAGGGTAAAGGAGAAGAAGAAAATGAAAAAGATTAATTGAGTTTTATTTATTTTTTGGTACCAGGGATCGAACTCAGGACTTCATGCTTGCCAGGCAGGTGCTTATGCCACTGAGCTGTATCCTGGCCTGAAAAAGATTAATTGAATGTTTATTCAATTAATAATAATATTGAATGATTAATAATATTGAATGATTAAAAAATAATATTGAATGATTAACTTTTAAATCTAAGGGGAGGGCTAAATACTATTACTTGAAGAAATGGTAAATAAATATGTATAAAAATGTTTGACGTCAGGCCTGGGGATTTAGCTCAGCGGCATAAGCGCCTGCCTTGCAAGTGTGTGGTCGTGAGTTCGATCCCTGGCACCGATAAAAAAGAAAAAGACAAAAAAAAAGTTCGACATTTACTGGTCATTCAAGAAATGAAAATTAAAACAATGCAGAGATTCTGTCTCAACCCAGAAAGAATGGCTGTCATCAAGAAATCAACCAATAATATAAAGGTGGCGGGGCTGTGGGGAAAAAGGAGCCCTTCTCCACTGGTGGTGGGAGTGTAGGCTGGTGCAACCACTGTGGAAATCAGGTGCAGGTTCCTCAAAATACTAAAACTAGAGGTTCCACTGATCCAGCTATTCCCCTTCTTGGTATCTCCCTAAAAGAATTAAAAGCATCATACCACAGTAATACGTACACTCATGTTTACAGCAGCACAGTTTGTAATGGCTAAATCTTGGAAACAAGCCAAATGTGCCTCCATGGATGAATAAAGAAAATGCTAGTTCTTTATATAATGGAGTACTACTCTGCTTTTAAGAAGGATAAACTTGAGACATTTCTGGGTAAACTGATGCACCTTGAGGCCAAACTAGTAAGTGAAATAAGTTGGATACACCTGTGGAAATATGGCATTGTTTTGTGGTGTGAAAACCTGAAAATGTACATAAGACCCTTTTGGGTATGATAGCAATCATGGAACACTATAACTAGATGTCCTACACAAAATGGAATTGGTCAACTAAACTTAACTAAACTAAAAGAACTCAACGAAACTAAACTTAAGAACTCAACGAAAAAAGCTCACCATTTTAAAACTGCAGTGTGTGTGTTTGTGTGCTGGGATCAAACCCAGGGCCTCCCCATGAGCACTTTCCCACACAAGTTTGGAAGGAAATCGTGCCTTTGAGACAGGAGAGTAGGGCACAGCAAACTGCCTGGCGAAGTCGAGGTGATCCGTCCTGATGAAGTCCCGAGACGCGTGCACTGGCCCTCAAGCCTCCTGCCCCCGGAGCCAGTCAGAGTGCTGGCTCCAGTCCTCTTGGGACAGTGAGAACAGGTTTGGATGGGGTAGTCTAGCCCTGATCTCAGCCTGAGGAGGGGCTCTGTCTTTGAGCTGGGGGCTACTTGCGTTCTTTCACAGTGGTCCTTTCGTGTTGTAGGGCAGTGGTGGCCAACCTGTGGCATATGTGCCACAGTCGGCACGCAGAGTCCTTTCTGTAAGCACAGGAGCCAAGTTACCCCAGCAATGCCCCAGAAGCCTGGCATTCAGGGCACCTGCAGTGCTGGCACTTTGCGATAAATAAGTGGGTTTTGGGTTGCAGTTTGGGCACTCGGTCTCCAAAAGGTTTGCCATCACCACTGGAGTGTGTGTTTTTTTCCCTGCTCTTTCTTGGCCCAAACGCACTCTACAGACATGTTTCTTCTCCTACCTTTAATAAACAGAAAGCCCTACTGCCTTTTGCATTTGTCTGACCAATTCTTTGCTCAGGACAGAAAGAAGCTAGAAACCGTCTCTAGAAGGATGGTGTAGCACCTAAAATCTGATAACACCTGCTCATGGAGAGGCTTAATTCATTCACAAGAAGCAAGGTTTACATGCCTGGTAGTGCAGATCTGTAATTCATGCATTCTGGGAGGTTGAGGCAGGAGGATCAAAAGTTCTAGCTCAGCCTGCCCAATTTAGCAACATAGTGAGACCTTGTTTCAAAATAAGAAAAGGCTGAAAGGGCTGGAGATGCAGTTCAGTGGAAGGCCTGTGCCTTAATGCCTAGTCTACGAAAACAAAACAAAACAAACCTCACAGAGTCAAAACTGTGTTCACAAAAGGAATACAAATCTTCCTGGAGTCCAGACAGAAGAGGGGTTGGGAAGGAAACTGATCAAGGCCAGGTATATTTCATTTTAAATATGCTAGCGAACAAGCCACAGCTCCGACCCCCCCCCCCCCCCATCTTCCGGTCTTTGAAACCAGAGCTCATTCTTTGGTCCTGGGAGAGCCAGGAAGTACCAAGCTTCTGGAGCCATCTGCAGAAGTTACAGGGAAAAGCCATCAACACCCTTTTGACATCAGAGGCTTGTAAAATATGCAAGACACAGAGACGAGAACTATGGGAATTGAGGACTGACCATTCCTGTAGAGGAGGGGGTGAGTGGAGAGGAAGGAAGGAAGGGCCCGGACCGGACAGAACCAGACAGAACCAGACAGGACCGGACAGGACAGGACGGGAGGAGGAGGGGGACAGGGCTGCCTGAAGAGAGAGGTAGGGGGAGAAATTCTTAAGAAAAGAATTCTCTTTTCAGTATGTCACAGAACACTCTAGATATTTTCTAAATTACCAAAAGAATAACATGGGGTTCTATTTAGAACTCTAATGGATTTAGATTTTCCATGTAGCAAACAGCTGTATGTTTGGGGCTTGGAGTTGGAGGTCTGAGGGAGGTGTGAGAATCTGGTTTCATCTTGGGTTCCTTTTGGAGCCTCTGGCAAGCACCAAAGTTCTCAGTTCAACACAAAGCAGAGCAGTGCGTGGAAGGAGCCTGTGAGGCCAGGGGAGTGGCGCCAGGGCAGTGGTGGCACCCACCGAGTCCAAAGCCCAAAGCAGCGGTGTGCAAAAGACCCTCGGAGGCAGAGATCCACAGCAAGCCTTGGTTCAGAGTGGGATGCACGGAAGTTTTCATCGCCAAGGGCCCCAGGGAAACCAGGACCTGCTGTGGTCCTTAGAAGCCACAGTGTCGTCACAGAGAAGGGGAGAGCAGCGACTGTCCCTTGGGCAGTACAGCCAGGCGGCAGCAGCTCACCTATCTGCGCTGCTGCAGGGGAGGAGGCTGCTGATATCCCCGGTGGAAGGATCATCCTCTCCCTGCTCCTGATACTGCTTATCAGTTTGTTTGCTTGACTTTCTCTAAGGCCGAACGCCTCCGGGCTGCCGAGGAGTGTGGAAGCGGCTCCTTCTCACAGAGCCCAGGGCAGAGCCTCTAGGGATCACGGCCTTGGCTGGCCCGGTCAGTCGTTTCCATCTGGATCACACTTACTACCCTGCTCTCAACCAAACACTCTGGAATGGCTTCTCTGGTTTCCTGAAATAATAATGATCTATAAAATAACCTACTTCTGTCACAATCCAAAATAAAAAAGCAACTCCCCCAAATATAATGCCCCCATACACATGAGAAATAAATGGAAAGTCATTATAATAAAATGACATAAATAAAATAAAAGATTTCAGTAGGTAAATGCTTGGGGTATGACTCTACAAGCCCCGAGGAAACCAGGTGTGGGGCACACACCTGTAATCCCTGCTGCTCCAGGCTTGTTCAGTTGCCTGCAAATTAAATTTAATCTCGAAATAAAAAATAAATTCCCAGTACTGCAAATCAATCAATCAATCCTCAGTAGTACAAATAAATAAGTAATACAATTGTTAAAATGGTGGGTGTGTGGCTCAGTGGTTCGGTGCCTGCCTGGTATTTGCAAGGCCCTGCATTTCCCTTTGTAAAAGGAAAACAAACCACAGTGAGGTACCACTTCATACCGCATAGATGGCAATAATAAAGAAAGACAGGTAATAACAAGTGTCAGTGAGGACAGGGAGAATGTGAAACCCTCGTCCACTGTTGGTGTGAATGTAAAATATTGCCATCACTGTGGAAACACTTCGGCGGTTTCTCAAATGTGAAACACAGAGTTCCCACATGATCCAGTAACTCTATTTCTAGGGAAATGCAATTGTGTGGTCATACAAAGACTTGCACAGAATGTTCAAGGCAGCATGAATCAAACAACAATAGCCAAAAAGCCATAACAATCCAACTGGCCATCAGCTGAGGAGTGAGGGACCCGCAGGGGGTCCGTGTACAATGGCATTCCATTCCCAAGGAAAAAGCAGGGTGTCCTCACGCTTGCCGCAGCATGGGTGGTCCTCAGAAACTCTAGGCTTGGGCTGAGGATGTAGCTCAGCGTGGAGTGTGTGCGGAGTGTGGTGTGAGGGGCCAGATGTGTGTTCACACCTTAGCACCACAGGTGACCAACCAACCAAACAAATGACCCTAGGTGTAAATAGAGAAGCCAGTCACAAAAGACCACGTGTTTATGATCTCATTTAGATAAACTGTCTCTAAACCATCAATCTCTAGAGAGAAAGAAAGGGCTAAGGGTGTATCTGAGGGGCAGAGCACTTGCCTAGCATGTACAAGGTGTGGGTCTGATCTCCAGGGAAGGGAAAAACAGTAGATTAGTAGCTGTCGAGGACTGGAGCAAAAATGAGAGTGACTTTATTTACTTTTTTTGGTACTGGGAATAGAACTCAGGACCTTGGGCTTGCTAGGCAGGCGCTTGTGCCCCTGAGCTACATTCCCAACCCGTGACTGACTTTAAAAGGCACAAAGTTTCCTTTACAAGTGGTGAAATATTCTAAAATTGAATAGTAGTGATAGTTGAACAAGTATTCAAATTACTGTAGATCACTGAATTGTGTACTTTACATGAGTGAATTTTTTTTTTGAAAGTATACAACAGAACAAGTCAGAATAAAGCCAACTAAGATCTTACAGTGAAATTGATACAGAACTTCACAGCAGGTTACCGGGATAACAGTAATAGGTATCACAGTATATTTTGTTATCTTTATAATAGTTGTTCTTTCAGTCACGTATATCAAAATGAGATGAAATATAGAATACTATAGAACTTATCAAAACAGAATATTGAATAGAGCAGTACCATTAATTAGAAAAGAGCAAAACAGTAATAAAAGTATTTGCCTTCAAAGAAATGGTAGAAGGAAGTCCCCTTATTTGCCATGGCCAACCTCCCAGGAGATGCTCAGATTTCTGGTTCCCATTTGCTA